GGAGAACTGAATTTAAGCAGGAATCTTTTCGAGAGATAAAACTAACGTCAGAATCACCAGTAGCTGCAACCAAGCAGTACAGTACTGGTCAAAGCAACTGGAAAAGTTGCGAGCAGTACAGCTGAAGAATTGCGATAATTTACTTTTTGGCGTAGTCGTATGTTTCTCGTCTGATGAAATACGATCAAAAAAGAAAAATACTTGTAAAGTACATTAATACAAAGTTTATGAATGAAAGAAAAAAATAGAATGACATATAGAATAAGGAAAACGGAAAGAATTATTATTGTTCCATTAAACTTCTCAGTGACTGTACGATGAGTTGCCGATGAGCGATACGTGTAACACCGAGCTGCGTGAACAGGATACGATCACAGGACAGCAAATGGATACCAGTAATTTGAAGCTGTTGAAATTTTCGGGAATGTTCCGAAAGTCCCAGTGTTTTAAGCCATGCAGCAATGTCATCGGTTGTCCAATGCGCCACTGGCTTGTCGACGAAACTGGAGCAACTTACAGTCGAATTCGAGTGACCCCCTACAAATCAATAAAATTACGTAAAAAACTGGAACAAAAATTTCAAAAAATAACGTGTAAATTGGATTAAAAAATTTTATCAAAAGTTTAAAAGCCCGATTAACAAAGCATACAGATTTTAAATTTTTGAGATCGCCGGGATATTTGGAAATTACTTTTCTGGCTTTGATTTAAGGATTCCCCTAATCTTTTTTTTTGTGCTTAAATGTTCCAAGATAGCTTTTTTTATACTTCACTTTTATTCTAAGTATCCAAATGTGCTGAAACTTTTTCAAGCGACTTTGTGAGACTCACAGAGGAAGGAAACGACAAGAAAACAGAAGCTCTGAAGCAAGCAGCAACTTTTCACAACGCTATATCACAGACAAAAGCACTTAGGGTACACAGAAAGTCATGGCAAAAAGCAGTTTGAAATTTCTCAGGTAATTCGCCTTTTAAAAGCTAAATTTCAGAAAACGTTCAGACAAATTTTATGATATTTTCTTTTAAAAAGTAATAAAAAAGAATCCGAAAGGTGAAAATATAGAGAGGTGAAGTGTTGCACAAATGCCAAAAATTGTGGTATCCAGAACGCTAGGGAAATCCGGTTCCACTAGAAGAGGAAGAGAGATCCGTGAAACTCGCTTACCTAGAACACCAGAATCTCCAGCTTTCTTTGCTGTGACGCGATTGTCGTCCAAGCGCAGTCAGTTACG